TGGAGGCGACGAACGGCAGCACGACGAGGTTACTGGCCGGCAATTCGAACGGATGATGGTGGTTCTGGCGATTGGGAACCGTGGTCGGCGGTGCTGACCCTGGCAATTGGCGATGGACTTTTGGCGAGGGGGAAGCAGCAGCGACTAGCTCTGCCGGGGAAGGACGGCGACCGGCGACTCGCTTATGGTGGCGATTAGCTGCGATCGGAAACGATGAAGACGAAGGACCTCGTGCGGCTCTCAGATCTGAAACGGAAGACGCGTACCGTAGGTTATACGCGTACAAAGTAATTCAATATTAATAGGTTTAGGTTTTACTTATTAATCCCATTACTAGTGGGTTTGGGCTCCGGGCCCAAAATACCTGATTAAATGGCCATAACATGAGCTCCATAATTCCGATTCGCGAGCCGGTTGAACCGACGTGATCACAAAAATATTTCCTACGAGATGACATAAAAGTTGGGCTTAGAATCCAAATTATAATTTTAACCCCCTTTTTAGGCCCAATTCGTAATCAATTGATCTAACGAATTTAATTAATTCTTTTGGGCCAGATTTCGGGGCGTTACAGTTACTTGAAGGTGAAGTAACTTCTCGAGTTGTTGAAGCTGGTGTTGGCGTTATTCGTGGAGGGTTTAGAGTTTGTGTTTCCCTCACAGTTGGTATTTGATATGTTGTCGTGATCTGAGGTTGCATGGGTGTCATTGATGGTAAACCATACTATGTCATTTGTATTGGAACTCGTACATAAGCATACTCCCTTGGGGGTTGGAGTAAGTCCTCTCTTTGGTTTGGATGCTAGCGTCCCGTGGATTGGGCAGAAGTCTGTGCTCTTCCTCTTAATGAAGCCATATTTCGTTCTAGATGTAAGTTTCTCTCTGTTTTTCTTTCTTTCCCTTTTGGTTGTGTATGCTTCTGGCAATCCTCATCTTGAATTTATAGTTGGGGTTGAGATATACGACGTTATTATCGTAGATGCATAGCTTTTGACTATCGAATCGTCTTTAAATCTTTGTCACTATTCACTCGTGAATTGAAAATGACGTAAAGCATCCAATAGTATTGCACTCGTGGTTTGACTACAACAGGAAGCATACATAGTCCTTTGCCCATGATTTGAAAACATATGCGGTGGCAGCCAATCTTGCAAATCAAACTCAATGTCATAGTCACATAACTATTTATACTATAGACTCCCTATTATCTACATCTGATCAACGTTATGTATGCAACTTTACTCGTTACCTATTGTAGATACGTTATCCTATTCATTCCATATAGTGGATATGAATTCTAATAGGAGAATTCTTGTGTTTATTTCTTCATCTTGGAGAAGTAGATTTGTCGGGACTTCATAATATTGAGATATCGACATTTTCTGTTAGTAGAATCACTTCACATGCTTCTGACGTACTTCTCGACACCTTTTCTTCCATATGACTTTCTAACGTTTGTATATAGATTCACTCCATCCTATAATGCGTTTCAGACTTGATACATATGTCGTATTCAATCTGATTTTTGAGGCTCTATTCGTGTTCTTTAGAAAATGAAAAATTCACTCTTGGGGAATTTGTTCACTTTCTATCGGAGAAAGTTCTTTCTTCAATGTATTCTTCGGCTTGATAGAAGTTGATTCTCATCGTTCACTTAGACATTCGCATACCATGACATACATATATGTCGTGCCTAGCGGGTTTACAATCCATGTTCTTAATCCTTGATCTTTTGATGTCGACTGTGATCGCGAAGAACTTTCTGAGGAAATCTAAACTTTACTGCATTCGAGTCTATAAGGATACTAGCAACTCAAAGGAAACAAATTTTCAATGAGTTAAGTATGTGTGTTATGCCATAATAACTTAATTGTTGATTACCTTCCCAGGGCAGAGATGTCGAGGAGGATGCGGATGCAGGACTTTGAAAATACTGACTCAATGATCCGAAAATCGTTTTGCTCCGATACCAAAATGTAACACATCAATCCGTATAACCCGGAATTACATGAATTAAGGTGAAACGAGGGTTAATTAAAAATTTCGCTTGACATTTGAAAATGACAATTACTTATAAATATTAAATTTACAGACTCTGGATCGCGACCCAATTAAAATATTTTCGGAGTAATGCGGAAGTACAATAATAATCAAATTATGACACATTTAAAATCTTGATTATCAAACATTTGCCTGCCATCCTTGCATCTCATCTGACTCAAAGCCCTCCAGGAGTGGTTCCATCATTATCTTCTTGTTACCTACGTGTAGTCAACGAAAAATACAAACTACACGCTCAGCGAAACCGCTGAGTGGTACCACGCTAGAATTGTAGAATAATTCACAGACATATACATATACATATATATATATATGTCCACAAAAATGTATAACAATGTTCATCATATGGCACATTATGTAATATGATCAAGTCGACGGTTTATGATGATGGATATTTAATGATGATTACATGACACCTATGTAATCAATACAATTGTTCTTGATGATGATTACATGACACCTATTTAATCAATATAGTTGTTCTTGATGATGATTACATGACACCTATGTAATCAATATAATTGTACTTGATGATGATAACATGATGCATGAACCTAAACGTGCAAGGACGACCCTTGCGCTATGAGATTCGCCCAGGTTGTACGACGAACTCACGCCACCTTAGTCCCTTGAATGAGGTGAGACTAGAAAAATGGGGGTGGTACTCTGACGAACTGCGTATAGCGGTAAGTCAACAAATAACCGAGTTAGACTCGGGTCGTTCTCTCCAGGAGTGACGAAGGGAATAATTAGTTTTATTATTTATCATAGGTAAATTTATAGTCTAAGAAACGTGAAATAATAAGAAATAAAACGTCTAAAATAAATGATAAAATAACTTGAGGAGTTAAGATCGGAACGCGGACATAACACACATTCAATAATTTAGAAACAGGTACGAATCGAACAGGTATATGCGTTAAGATAATAATTTTGGGATTAAATTAACTTATTAATTAATTTGATTTTATATCATTAACTTATCCATTTTTCAGGCCTCATTAATGTGTCTAAATATGGTTGGCTAGATTATTTTTCTTAACTCATAGACAAGCTAGACAAATAATCTCCAAAGATTAATTAATAAATTGGCTAGATCTTTTAATTAGTGAATCTCATTTTAGACAATTGAATCAAATTAATAAAGTTACTAACTTAATTTTAATTACTAATCATTAACCCATACCCTTAATTCAATTCATACCTAAGTATAAATTTAGCCACTAAAAGCCATAAGTAGACAATTTAAACTAATCAATAAAGGATAATTTTATTAATAAAGGAAGAGTATACAAGAAAGCTTACAGATCTTGAAGAACGGAATACAAATCGCACAAATCTTCAGATCAACACTATAAGATGTTTAAAAAGAACTCTGAAACTCAATAAGGATGAAAAATGGAATTTTTGACGAAAGTGCTTCAAAGACTTGAAAATTCACTTGGAATGATGAAATTTAACCCACTCAAATTTAGTACAATATTTATAAGTAAAAAGTGAAGATTTTTTCCCCAAAAAGGGGAAGAACCGATTGGAGAAGCCTGGGAAAAGGGAGGATCCACGCTGGCCATTTATAGGAGAGGATCACCGACCGGCGAGCAGACCGGCGGCCGCCAGCCAGCCCGCCGGTGCCGCTGAAGAACTCTCCAGAACTGCCGGAATCCCTGGTCGCCGTCGACAGGCGGGCAGGTAGGCTGCAGCCTGCCAGCCCGTCAGCGCTCCCCCTCGCTGTTGGAGCCTTTTCTCGCCGTCGCCGCCTTCTGACCGGCGGCCAGGCAGGCTGCCGTCGGCCAGGTCCTGTCAGGTCGCCAAAATCTGTCGATGCTACCTTGCTCAAAATTTTGTTCCGAATCTTTTTTCCTTCTGCACCGACTTCTAATTTCGCACCGTTTGTGAGATAGAATTTTTTTCTATTAAAATTTACTCTTTTTACTCTATTCTTGGCCCAATTTTATATATTATTTCAAAGACATTCTTTTTATTATCAATTTAACAAAACATATATTTTTGATAAAAATAATAAATAATTGACTAGTTTGATAATTAAAATGATACAAGGACGTATTAAATATGAGTAAAAAGATAAGCACAAAACGGACTTATCAATCTCCTCACACTTAAACGTTGCTTGCCCTCAAGCAACTCATCATCTACCAATAATTTGTTTGATTATATTCTAAGATCCTACTTCCTTTCAATAATCAGTTAATTTCATTAGCATTAATTACTTCATCTTTTTCTTTATATTCTAACAACTAAATATCTCATCACTCTTTTCAAAAAATTTAACAATAAACTTATTTAAAAGTTTGCGTGAGTAAGTTTTTCTTCCGAGATCTCCTAAGGTCAGTAATTAATAACGATTTGTAGTCTCTTGGTCCTCTTATCTCAATTAATTAACTTATTTTTTTTGTTTTTTTTGTGAGTTATCCCATAATGCCCTTTTTATTGCTTATGAATTGATTTTTTTTTCTTTTAATAATAATAGAAGGGCAGAGCTCCAAAGGAGATAGGATACTCAATGCAGCACATAAGCGCAAACAATTGGAACAATTGTTTGGGTTGTGGGTTTTTCCCATTACATATGCATACTTGCTCCCTCGCCTTATGCGATTCACGGGAGAAGCAGAGCTCCTTTTGGAGATAGGATTCCCAATTCGTCACTAAAGCGCAACCCTCACAATTATCTTTGTTTATTTATTTCAATTAAAGAGAAACTGACCAAAAGACTTATAATCGTTATGTAATTAACAACCTTAAGTTACTCAACTAAAACCCAAATCATGCACAATTTTAAATAAAAGTTCATTGTTAAACTTAGAAATGAGTAAATGATTATTTAATTTATTAGAGAATAAAAGAAAAATGTAAAGTAATTGAAAACTAAATTCATTAACTGATTATTGATCAAGAGAATAATTTTCTAGAATATAATCATACCTGATATTCTACCTCCTCACACTTAAGCTGGACCTCGTCCTCGAGGTCCAAATGCGGGATGCGAGTAGAAAAATCAAAGCATGTCAATCTTCCTCACACTTAGTGTGAAGCATATGATGAGAGGCAAGATTTTAATGATCATAAAAAGTTAAAAATTTGGCCAAGATTAGAAATAAAAAGCTATTTTTAATAGAAAATTATTTTATGCATTAAAACACTTTTTGGTGCGAAAACTGGCAAGGCTCATTGTGATGGCTTCCGTTTGTTTTCCTGCAAAAGAAAAGAAAACAACAAAGCAAAGGAAAAAAACAACAAGTGCACAGTGTGTGAAAGTGTGAACAAGAACTATTTCTAATTTTTTTGTTATTATTATTATTATTATTATTATTATTATTATTATTATTATTATTATTATTATTATTATTATTATTATTATTATTATTATTATTATTATTCTTCTGACGGGTTGCCTCCCGTTAAGCGCTAATTTAACGTCATTAGCTTGACGCCATTATTCTTAAACTTGGTAAAACAAACATATCTAACGGAGCACTCTCCTCGAGAGTCTCCAACTTTTTCCGAATAATCGCCGTAAGGCGGCGCAGACCTAGATATCCGTGAAGCCAAGGAATAGTGAAAATCCTATAAAAAGAACTGATCACTCCCAAGCATAAAAGATATTCTGATAAAGGTAAAGCCTTGGGGATGCTCGACTTCACAAAAAGTGGTTCAAAGAGACCCTCTTTTTGTGGAAAAATCTTCAGTGAGTCAAGGTCTCTTTGAATGAGTTTTTCTAAGGGACTCTCTTCAAGATATACATTCTGGTCCAATTCAACAGAGCCCCCTAAATGATCAATGCCCTCGGACTTTAGCAAAAATTCTACCTTGAGTTCACTTTTATGTTCTCCATTTCCCTCATTGAGAGGCGAACAAACAAGTCCTTGATCGTCTCTTTTCTCTTCTATACGAAATGGAGAAACATTAAAGTTTTCCTCAGGCATTACTCCCTCCATCCCATTATTGTGATTTTCATTATTTACTCGAACAAGAATACCTTTATCAAGCAAGTTTTTCAATGTTTCTTGATATTCATCTTCAAAATCAGCCCAAAGATTTTCTTGTTCGAGATAATATTCATTTTCATCAAATTCCTCATCCTGAGGTGGTTGGCCTAAAGAAGGTGTTCCTTCTTACGCTATGTTTGATTCAACAATTTTATCCACCTCAATTTCCTCATCCTTGGATTCATCAGCTAACCATTCATTTTGATGAATTTTATTAGATTCATTAGGTTTGAATTCTAATAATTCATAGAGATTTCCAATTTCCTTAAGAATATCTTCTTTTTCATTATTGAAAATCTCTAGATTAGAATCAGGGTTTAGAGAAGAATAAGGAAAAGTATAACAAAGATCACCTTCTTCATTTACTAAACCATTCTTTTTAAGAAATTCATCAAAATCAAGGTTAGTATATCTCTTTAATTCTATTTGCCCAATTAAATTTCTTATAATGCGATCCATGTCATTTTTTATTGGTTTTAATTTATGACTAATCGCATCAAAATTATTAATAGGGCAAAATGTGGAATAAGGAGAGGAATAATTCTCGTGATAATCAAAGTTATTGTAATTCTCCTCCTGCTCATAATTATTTTCATCAAAGAATCTAGAGGGATTATTACAATAATTTTGATTATCATAAAAATCACAATAATTATTTCGATAATTTGGTAAATGATCAAAATTATTTAAATTTCTCCCATGATCATAATCATCAAAATAAGTATTATTCATAAGAGAATTGTAATGCCAGTTGTTTTCAAAATCTTGATCATTACCAAAATTATCTTGTGAACAACCAAAATTACCATTATCATAATTATTCCACCTATTACCATTAAATTGATAATCATTTTCAATCATAGGTGGATTTTCATAAAAACTATTTTCATAATGGTAATTTTCGTTATAATCATTAAAAAAATTATTTTCACAATATGGGTATGGCGGGTAATCATTAGAATGAGAATTATAAAAATTATTAAAGTGACTCACAAAAATGTAAATAAGGAAAAAAAACAAATAAATCGAGTAAACTAAAAATTTTCCTATGAAAATAGAAAAACTAACTAAACCGTGCCACTCCCAGGCAACGGCGCCATTTGACGAACTGCGTATAGCGGTAAGTCAACAAATAACCGAGCTAGACTCGGGTCGTTCTCTCCAGGAGTGACGAAGGTAATAATTAGTTTTATTATTTATCACAGGTAAATTTATAGTCTAAGAAACGTGAAATAATAAGAAATAAAACGTCTAAAATAAATGATAAAATAAATTGAGGAGTTGAGATCGGAACGCGGACATAACACATAAATTGAGGAGTTAAGATAATAATTTTGGGATTAAATTAACTTCTTAATTAATTTGATTTTATATCATTAACTTATCCATTTTTCAGGCCTCATTAATGTGTCTAAATATAGTTGGCTAGATTATTTTTCTTAACTCATAGACAAGCTAGACAAATAATCTCCAAAGATTAATTAATAAATTGGCGAGATCTTTTAATTAGTGAATCTCATTTTAGACAATTGAATCAAATTAATCAAGTTACTAACTTAATTTTAATTACTAATCATTAACCCATACCCTTAATTCAATTCATACCTATGTATAAATTTAGCCACTAAAAGCCATAAGTAGACAATTTAAACTAATCAATAAAGGATAATTTTATTAATAAAGGAAGAGTATACAAGAAAGCTTACAGATCTTGAAGAACGGAATACAAATCGCAAAAATCTTCAGATCAACACTCTAAGATGTTTAAAAAGAACTCTGAAACTCAATAAGGATGAAAAATGGAATTTTTGACGAAAGTGCTTCAAAGACTTGAAAATTAACTTGGAATGATGAAATTTAACCCACTCAAATTTAGTACAATATTTATAAGTAAAAAGTGAAGATTTTTGCCCCAAAAAGGGGAAGAACCGATTGGAGAAGCCTGGGAAAAGGGATGATCCGCGCTGGCCATTTGTAGGAGAGGATCACCGACCAGCGAGCAGACCGGCGGCCGCCGGCCAGCCCGCCGGTGCCGCTGAAGAACTCTCTAGAATCGCCGGAATCCCTGGTCGCCGTCGACAGGCGGGCAGTTAGGCTGCAGCCTGCCAGCCCGCCAGTGCTCCCCCTCGCTGTTGGAGCCTTTTCTCGCCGTCGCCGCCTTCTGTCCGGCGGCCAGGCAGGCTGCCGCCGGCCAGGTCTCCTGTTAGGTCGTCAAAATCTGTCGATGCTACCTTGCTCAAAATTTCGTTCCAAATCTTTTTTCCTTCTGCACCGACTTCTAATTGCGCACCGTTTGTGAGATAGAATTGTTTTTCTATTAAAATTTACTCTTTTTACTCTATTCTTGGCCCAATTTTATATATTATTTCAAAGACATTCTTTTTATTATCAATTTAACAAAACATATATTTTTGATAAAAATAATAAATAATTGACTAGTTTGATAATTAAAATGATACAAGGACGTATTAAATATGAGTAAATAGATAAGCACAAAACGGACTTATCATACTCGAAAGCCTGATACCATGTACGTACACTAAGCCCTGCTAAGTCCCGCACAATCACGTTATAAGATACGCACGAGGCATGATCTCTTATGCATGCATATGATGTGATATGCTTCAATATGGATGGTGAAATGAATCATATGATATGAACAATTTGTAAACAACATGAATACGTAATCATACATTAATTTATTTGGGTTGAGACATGATAAAAAAATCATTTAAATAAGCTACGGGGCTCGGAACGGTGCACAATCACGCTATAAGAGACGCACGAGGCATGATCTCTTACGCATGCATATGATGTGATATGCTTCAATATGGATGGTGAAATGAATCATATGATATGAACAATTTGTAAACAACATGAATATGTAATCATACATTAATTTATTTGGGTTGAGACATGATAAAAAAATCATTTAAATAAGCTACGGGGCTCGGAACGGTCCACCGTTTGACACGGCGGTCGACCGTGCCTAAAATCATCTCATAAATTTTAGATCACCGTGACGGTCGACTGTGCCTGGCCGGCGGTCGACCGTTGTTGATTGGTTGGACGTAGCGGCATTCGGCTAGGTTGCGACGGTCGACCGTTTTGCTATGGCGGTCAACCGTTCTGTTGACAGTCGTGGTCCGTTTTGGTAATTTTATGCGACGGTCGACCGTTTGCATCGACCGTTTGGGTGTGCGAATCTTACTCTTGATATTTTGAGTGTCCAAAATACTTCTTTAAGCCTTTTAAACACCTTTGATTAACATATACATATTGTTGGGTTGATTTCCAAAGTTTATATTTACTCATGTGTAAATTAAATTTATGGCTTTGGTGTATTTTGATCTCAACATATAGATGACATATATATGTATCACATATACATTTTGGAGATAGTTTCAACATATGGATTAACATATACGTTCATGTACGTATGTGATGAATGATTCGACAAGTCTAACGTAAGGGTACAGACCTGGAAATCATTGGCTGAAACCTTAAGGATGAGCAGGAGTGGAAACAACATCGAAATTCACTAACTTTGTCATTCTCGTCACAATTGGACAGCCTGCCGTATTTTGGGCATATCTCCATCGTTTCTTCACGGAATTGCAACCCGTTTGATTCTGTGGATTCCTAAGATGTAAGGCTATAACTTTTGTATAGAAAGTATTTCGATTTAACAGGTGTAAGATAGCGTAAATCGGACCTGAAGTCAAAGGATAGTTGCTGTCCAGGATTTCGGATATGTCGATGAACAACAATTCCGACGATTAACTCATTAACTTCAATATTCCAACATCGAACCTTCTCTACGATACCTTCCGGATATTCCTAATAATCGTTAGAGATTTTATGGCAAGTGTTTGGAATGAAACAACATGAATATGGTGAGGAAAATGGTCCAACCCAAGGAGCTCGCCACCTCTGGCGCAGTCCCGGTATTTTGGCCATATCTTCTTCGTTACTTAACGAAATTGCGAGCCGTTTTTTGGGCTGGATTCGTATCGTCCGGGGTTAAAAATTTGGTTCAGAAAGTATTTCGAGATAATGGATGGAAAATTTCAGTTTGTACCTTGAAGTTGCTGCTGCGTTTTGAACTCAAGATTTGGAAATTGTGGATGATTTCTTGCTTCTTCTTCTTCCTTGAACCAACTATGGAGTATTAATGTGTTTTCTTCCTTCTTTGGCCACTGGTTTACACGAGAGAGAGAGAGAGAGAAGGACAAAGGAGTTGTGTTGTGATTGGCTTTAGGAAATTTAGAGGAAATTGGGATAGACTTTAATAGCCAAAGTCATTTAGCTTATTAGGTAGTGAGGTGAATAATGAAGCTTGGAGAGACTTTTAAAACACTTAGGAAATTTCCTCCTAAGGTGGCTGTCCGATTTGTGAAGATTTGAGGAGAAATAAACTTTGGCTTTTAGTCTAAACTGATAAATTTACCCCGAACGGTACGCACTTTTTCGTCCAAACTGCTCCGAATTGAAAACGAATTGTGTTTTTGAATTGAGACAGTCAAAATTAGAATTTTGACGTAATCAAAATATTTTTCTGATAACTTTTATTTTTCTTAATGTCTGGGTCTGTCTCTGTCATAAATTAATTTTATAGAATGAATGAGATAAAAATATATGAATTATATTCCAATGATGAATATGGTGTTCTCAAGTGTCAAAGATTAATATTTCTAATCTTATGAAATCTCTTTTGAATTGAGTTTATTTTATGGGTCAAAGTTAAAAATTTTAATATTTAAAATCGTCATAACTTGAAATCTATAAATTAGATTGGTTCATAAAATGTACTGTTGGATTCGTCTCTTCGAGACATATCCGTAAAAATAAGTTTTTAACATAAAGTCATGATTTTTAAAATCCATTTATTTTTAGTCAAACGTATAAATATTCCCTATTGGACAAAAAATGATATTTAAAACTACTTTCGTTTTATAATAAATTTTAGGCCATATTTTGTGGCGTTACAGTCATCCTCGTCATCTTCGATGTCCATGGCATCGCCATCGACCGCATCTTAAAAGTCAGCCTCCTCGGGAGAGGAGGACGGAGCGTAGGAGTCGTCGTCCTCATCCTTGCCCTCGAAGTTTTGGCCGAGGATGTTGCTGTCAAAAGGCGGTGGGACGTAGTTGATGCCTCGGAAGAACGCCGTCATGTCGTGGTGTTGGCGTTGCAGCGTCCAGTCCATCCGCTCCATGTATTGCCCCATGCCGTCCACCGTGAGGTTTAGCCGATTCAGGGTGTCGGCTATGGACTGCAAAGAGGCCCGGGCGAGAGCGGAGGCAGGGGCAGGGGCAAGGGCACGACTCGGTCCAGCGTCGTCTAAGTTTTCAGACTTCTTCTTGAAGGTGTTGTCGGCAATGATCCAGAGCTTCGTCATCTTCGTGCTTGGCCCAGCGATGTGGATGTCGGTAGAGACGATGAGGTCCATGACGAGGAAGGCGTACGGCAAGCTCCGCTCGGTGTAGAGGGAAGCGCAATCAGTTATGTGAATTATAACAAATTTTGCCCAATTGATGGAGGTGCCGTGCATGATGGCGTGAATCGCCTCCATGTCCTCGTTGAAGAGCGAGGTGTGGATGCCATCCCGGGGGCGGAGGATCCGGGTGAGAATGTAGAGGAGGAGGCGCTTCTCCGCTGGGGCCGAGTGGATCGTCGGCACGCCGCTGTGGCGGATGAGGTTGGTGATCCAGAGCTCTCGAATGACCACCGCCTCGTTGTTGAGGATCCAATCGTCGCCACCATACGTAGCGATTTGGTCGCCTCGGATGGGTAGCCCTGCGATCCGTGCAAAAGTCGGCAAGTCAATCTCTATGTCGTAGAGATTGATGCTGCTGTAGATGGTGTCTCCGTCACAGTGGAGATTGGAGTTGAAAGCCCGGACGAAGGCAGGATTGAAGGACGTGCGGCTCTTGGAGATGAAGGGCCACAAACCCGATGCTTTGAGTTGATTGTCGAGGTCGTGGTACCCCTTGTCTTGAGGAAACAACTCCGGGAGCATGCGGGGTAGAGAGATTGGGCGTTTGACGAAGTGTGTTAGAAACCGAGTGAGTTCCTCCTCCGAGCCAAACTCGAGAAAAGATCCGTCGAGGTAGGGAAACGGCGGGGGCGCAGAGCTTGAGGCTTTGGCGGTGCTTTTCTTCTTGGAAGACTTCGTCTTCTTTCCTCCTGCCATCGTTGAGGTGTTGGTGAAGAACAAGAGATGAATTATGAAGATTAGGCTTAAGAGAGTGAAATTGTGATGTGGATTGTGTTTAGAGATGACCAAGAACACTGAATATATATAGGGAGAGATGAAATTTCCGTTTGAATTTGAAAAATATTGCTGTTGGGGATTTAATTGGGTGCCCAACGGCTCTGAATTTTTGAATTGCACTAGCCTTCCCAGCGATGGTAAGATCTACCCATCGATGGGAAGGTCGCCACTGGAAAGCAAGAAAAAATTCAAGGCTGCCTTCCGAGCGATGTGTGGATTCTCCCATCGATGGGAAGGGGGTTACTGGAAAGGGACGAAGTAAAGAAGTTGGCCTTCCCAGCGATGTTAATACCATCCCATCGATGGGAAGGGGGTTATTGGAAAGTGACGAAGTAAAGAAGTTGGCCTTCCTAGTTATGTTAATACCATCCCATCGCTCGGTTGGTTGTTTTGGAAACCCGTTATGAATTTTTTTAAAATAGTGTCAAACACCCAGCGATGGGGGGATGTTCCCATCGATGGGTAGGATGGTTCTGGAAAAAAAAAATTAAACGAAAGTCATACACCCAGGGATGGTACAAAGTCACCATCGATGGGTAGTGGACTTCTGGAAATCCGTTAAAAAAATTTTAAAAAAAAGAGTCAATCACCCAGCGATGGGAGGATTTTCCCATCGATAGGAAGAGGAGTTCTGGAAAGAAGACACTTCCCTCCCATCGATGGTATAACCCACCCATCGCTGGTTCCCCCTGACTTCCAGATTTCTTTACTTCGAACCGTCCCTGCAAAAAAGAGTTAGAAAACCCTCCGAAGCTCAAGTTAGTAAACGTTCAAATAGTGATAAAGGAGTAATAAAATGCACAACTTAGATCATCGTGGAGTCAAGGATTCCGAGTTCACTACGAATGCGGAAGAACGTCTCTTTCTCTAAAGGTTTTGTGAAAATGTCGGCTAATTGGTTGTGTGTTTCGACAAACTCAATTTCGACATCACCTTTGAGAACATAATCTCTAATGAAATGATGCCTAATGTCAATGTGTTTCGGCCTTGAGTGAAGAACGGGGTTTTTCGTCAAGCTTATGGCGCTAGTATTATCACAATGAAGTGGAACGTGATTGATACTAAGGCCATAGTCCACGAGTTGTTGCTTCATCCAAAGGATTTGAGCACAACAACTACCGGTGGCAACGTATTCTGCTTCAGTTGTGGATAACGCAACACTGATTTGTTTCTTACTAAACCATGAAACTAGAGAGCTACCAAGTAAGTGGCAAGTCCCACTCGTACTTTTGTGGTCCAAATTGCAACCGGAAAAGTCCAAGTCGGAATAACCAACGAGATGACAAGAAGAGCCTTTTGGATACCACGGTCCAACGTTAACCGTGCCAACAAGGTATTTCATGATCCGTTTCACCGTCGTTAAGTGCGATTCCTTCGGACACAATTGATACCTTGCGCAAAGACATACACTAAACATGATATCCGGCCTACTAGCGGTAAGATAGAGAAGGGATCCAATCATACCTCTATACTTTTTGACTTCTACTTCCTTACCTTTCTCGTCTTTGTCAAGATGGTCGGACGTGCTCATCGGGGTCGCCATGGCTTTGGCGTAGTCCATTTCGAATCGTTTTATGAGTTCTTTGCAATACTTGGTTTGGCAAATGAATGTGCCATCTCTCATTTGCTTCACTTGAAGTCCCAAAAAGAACGTAAGCTCGCACATCATTGACATTTCGAACTCGCTTGTCATTAACTTGGAAAATTCCTTGCATAAAGACTCGTTAGTAGCACCGAATATAATATCGTCTACATAAACTTGAACCAAAAGGATGTTGTTGTTTTTACTCTTGATAAAAAGTGTAGTGTCAACCTTTCCCATTTGGAAACCACTATTCAAAAGAAATTTACTCAAACGTTCGTACCAAGCACAGGGTGCTTGTTTTAGACCGTAGAGCGCTTTCTTGAGTTTGAAGACATGGTCGGGATACTCAAAGTCTTCAAACCCCGGGGGCTGGTCAACCGTACACTTCCTCTTGAATAAAACCATTGAGGAAGGCACTCTTAACATCCATTTGATAAAGTTTAAAATCCATAGACGAAGCAAAAGTAAGAAGTAAACGTATAGCTTCTAAACGTGCTACGGGTGCATAGGTTTCTTCAAAATCAATGCCTTCTTCTTGATTGTAGCCTTTAGCTACGAGCCTAGCTTTGTTTCTAGTGATTATTCCATTTTCATCAAGTTTGTTACGGAACACCCATTTCGTACCAATAATCGTACGATCATCGGGCCATGGCACCAATTCCCAAACATCATTCCATTTGAATTGGTTTAGCTCCTCTTGCATAGCCAAGGTCCAATGTTCATTGTTTATTGCTTCGGAAATGGTTGTAGGTTCAATTTTAGAAACAAAAGCCATGTGTCCTACGGTTTCCCTAAGTGAGTTTCGAGTACTTACCCCATAGTTGATGCTACTGATTACTTCGTCAAGCGGATGGTTCTTGTTCGTTCTCCATGCGACGGGAAGCTCGGTTTCATCGTCTTCTTGTTCCTGGGTTTCCTCTTGTTCTTCTTCTTCCTCTTGATTTTCTTCGCCTTGGTTAGTCACTTGAGGCGTCTACCCAATTTGCGGCTACATGTTAGTGTATATTTCCGTGTTCTCTTCATCGTCTTCGACGTGTATTCTTCCTAGCGAATCTGCAAGATCATCACAAATATCCTTTCTCGCCAAACGAGGGTTATCTTCGAAAAATACAACGTGAGGGGACTCCTCAATAGTCAAGGTACGTCTATTAAAGACTCTATAGGCCTTGCTACGTAATGAGTAACCCAGAAAAATTCCTTCATCCGAATTGGCATCAAATTTGCCTAAGTTATCTCTGCCGTTGTTATGAATAAAACATTTATAACCAAAGAATTGAAGATGGGAAAGGTTTGGCTTTCTCCCTTTGTATAGTTCATAAGGCGTTTCCATGAGTATCGGTCAAATGACGGCTCGGTTTAATACGTAGCTCGCGGTACTCACGGCATCCGCCCAAAAATACTTAGGGATTTTTGCCTCATTGATCATAGTTCTAGCCATCTCTTCGAGACATCTATTTTACGTTCCACCACTCCATTTTTTTGTGATGTACGTGGGGCTAAGAAAATATGATCAATGCCGAGTTCGTCACACAAATCTGAAAATAGATTTCGTTCGAACTCTCCCCCGTGGTCGCTTCCTATGGCTACGATGGTTGTTTCTTTTTCATTTTGAACTTTCTTTAAAAAAATTTTGAAAACATGAAATGCCTCACTTTTATGAGTAAGAAACAAGGTCCATGTGAACCTAGAGTAGTCATCGACAATTACAAACGCAAAGTGATTACCACTGAAACTTTTCATTCTAGAAGGACCAAAGAGATCCATGTGCAAAAGTTCAAGCGGTCTAGACGTTCAAACAACGTTCTTAGACTTAAACGAAGCCCGAACTTGCTTCCCCTTTTGACATGCATCACATATGGTGTCTTTTTCAAACTTAAGTTTTGGAGTGCCAATTACTAAGTGTTGTGAAACTAATTTTTTTAAAAGGTTCATGTTCATATGAGCTACCCTTTGGTGCCATAACCAATTGTCTTCCTCTTTACTCATGACGCACTTAACAAGGTCGGAAGGAGATTTGTCTAAGTTAACCACATATATGTTATCGATTCTATCACCACGTAGAATGACCTTATTTTCACTAAGTCGTTCTACCGTGCATGATTTTGAATCGAAGGTCACACGGTTTCCCTTGTCACATAATTGACTTATGCTCAAGAGATTGTGTTTAAGACCCTTAACTAGCTAGACATTATCTATAGAGGCTTTTTCTGATTTACCTACCGAACCAATGCCGATAATCTTTCCCTTGCTATTATCTCCAAAGTACACTTGACGCCTTCAAGCACACCTACAAAAATGATTTAATAAGATTTAGGTACCCAAGTGTTTTTGGGTCCTTGGGTGTTAGATGCATAGTGGTAGTGTGATTCATTTTGTGCCCAATGCCTATGCCTAGTGAAACAAACGGGAGCTATATGTCCTACCCTATTGCAGTACTGGCAGACTACGTTTGAGTTGTGCATCCTCCTAGGTTGATAATAGTTGCTAGGGGGCCTAACCATATTCATCCTATTTTGAGAAAAAATTGGTTTTTGAAAATTCTCTCTTCTAGGTGTCCTAGCATTATTTTGTCTATTTGAAAAATCATTTTTATGCACAAATTCATTTTGATAATTTTTCTTAGGTTGTCTAACATGCACATTTTCATTCCTAGGTTTTTGTCTAGGTTGTCTAGTGTTCTTAGGTTGACTAGATTTTCTATTATCCTGATTTTTAACTTTCTTACATTGAGCCTTAGGAGGTTGTCTAGGTGTTTGGTCAACGTTTTTATCCTTAGATTCGTTTTTATCAAAACCTAATCCTTCCTTAGAAAAATGCATAGTGTCAAGGAGTAAGTTAAGATCTTTGTGTGGAGTATTGAATTTCGTAAGCACTTCTTTTGCCATAAAATTTATTTTCATGTTTTATCTTTTCATTATCTTTTTCTAGTTTTTCAAAATCATTTTCAAGAGTTGAAAGACGTTTCTTTAATGATTTGTTAGTTTTGGAAGCGCTAACAAATTCATCGTAAAGCTCACGAAGTGCTTCTTGCATCTCTTCAAAAGTGTAAGAGTCGGAAGAAGTGCTACATACCTCTTGTACTTCGTCGGCGTGGTCTTCGTGTGCCATGAGACAGAGGTTGGCGGCTTCATCCTCTTCTTGGTCGATTGACTCGTCGTCGGAGTCGCCACCCCACGAGATATACGCTCTTTGCTTTTTGAAGCCGGGTTTGTCCTTGCCGTTTTTGCCTCTTGGACACCTCGGCTTGATGTGGCCTATCTCGCCACAGCCATAGCACTTCGGGGGACTGTCGTGCTTTCTTCCTTTGCGCTCAAATTCCTTCTTCATGAATTTGTGGAATTTCTTGATGACGTGTCCAAACTCGTTGTCATCATCGCTTGAGACTTCTTCCACCGTCTCTTTGGTTGTTTTGAGCGCTATTCCTTTCTTCTTTTGTTCATCCAAAGACGGGGTTAAAATAGTGGATTCATAAGTTTTGAGCTTACCTCTTAACCCGTCGATGGTGACGCTGGAGACTCCGATAGATTCGTAGATTGCGTCGGCCTTTGATCTCCATTCGGGTGTGAGACTCCGCAGGATTTTCCTCACGACATCCTTGTTGGCGTAAGTCTTCTTAAGAGCATGAAGGTCGTTGATGATCTTTGAGAACCGATCGAACATGTCATCGATCTTTTCGCCTTCCTTCATCCTAAACATCTCGTACCCCTGCGTGAGGAAGTCAATTTTGGCTTCCCGAACTTCGTCCGTACTTTCGTATGTGACCTCCAGCTTGTCCCACATTTCTCTGGCGGTGGTGCAGCTAGAGATCTTGCGATAATCATCGGGGTTGACCGCGCAGTAAAGCATGTTGATTGCCTTAGCGTAGTTCTCCACCTTTTTGGTGTCTTCGACATCAAATTCGTCCTCGGTCTTTGGGACAAGTTTCTCCCCAACCTTGTTCATTGGCGTTTCTTCGCCGTTCTTGATGACCAACCACAACTCGAAGTTGGTTGAGCGGATATAAATTCTCATACGCTCTTTCCAATATGTGTAGTTGGTGCCATTGAAGAGTGGTGCCTAGAGGTTGATTGACCTTCTCCAATCCCTGCATAAAGATTTCTAGAAGAAGAACCCATGATCGCTTTTCTCTCAAACGACTAATTTTGGACGCGAGTTAGGCTCTGATACCAATTGTTAGAATAAAACATCAACGCTAGAGGGTGTTAGAAAATAGGCCCAACGCTAGAGGGGGGTGAATAGCGTTTAAAACAAAATTGCAGGAAATTAAAAACGAGAGTGATAAAGAAAAGAGCGTAAGGAAGGAGCACACCGAATTTTATCCTTGTTCACCACAACGTGTGGCTAATCCAGCCTTTCAAGAGACTCTCTCGAGTTACACTAACTCCGTTAAGCTTAAAGGTGCTCAACAAACCGATTCCACTTGAGAACTCGAGTCACACGAGCCTCAACGCCTTTGCTCGGAGATACCGCACTCCAAGGCTTCTCACGAAGGAACAAGAAACTTCCTTCGAGTTTACAACAAGGGAACAAACTCCCTTAAAGTGTATGAAAACACTTAAACACTCAGGAATGAAACTCTCACAAAGAGTAGATATGAGTGAACTAGTAAACGCTCAAGAACACGACAATTTCTTCAAGAATTGGCTCTCAAATAGCTAAGAAAAATAGAAATGCTTATGCAATGAAAGAGTATTGAAATGTTGAAGAATTGTGTGTAAAATGAGAGGATTTGGGTGCCATTTTATAGCCTGAAATGGGATAAACCCGTTGCTAAACTTTCCAACAGGATGAAGACAAATTTTTCAGAGACACAGGGTGATAGTCGATTGTCATAGCTTAATAATCGATTATCAAAAGATTCGTTGTCCAAAAATTTAAAATTCTATCCGTTGGAGGACAACGGTAACCCAGACAATCGATTGTCAACAAGTGATAATCGACTATTGGTCCTCTTAGTAGTTCCTGGGTTTTGGCTGCAGACTGTGATAATCGATTGTTGCAGAAGTGACAATCGATTATTGCGTGCTTTAGAACTTTAAGTTCAAAAGCTGCAGAGGCTGATAGTCGATTGTCACTAAGGTGATAATCGATTATCACCCAGCTAAGACCCAGCCGGTGAAAACCCGTTCTGAAAAACCGAGGTCCAAAAACGAAGTGTTCCCAAAAGTAAAAACCAAGTTTGAAAAACATTGTATATGGTATAAAATAGTGAAACCAAGACTTGTTTTATAAAAACCAAGTCTTCAAGGTCGTTTATCACGTGTGTACGGCTTTGATCGTTTTTCACGTGTTAGACCGATTGACCAAGATACAAAAGTGGTTTTCGCAAAATAATTATTTGGGAACCTTTTAAAAATGCCCAGAGGTAAAAAAGAGGTTTAAAATATTAAAAACCACCGAGTTAGTTTGGACGCCGAAAACCGGACGCCGATGCTGAATGCTGAACGCCGACCGAGGTGGTTTTTGGTCTGGGCAAGGACCAGGGTTTTTAATACAATGAAACTTTTAAAAACATTTATTTGATGCACAAAAATGTTTTATGATTTTGTAAAATTATTTTGACTCTTTGAGAACCGAGACTTGAATTGATTGTCGGTTTTGATCACAATAAGACTGACTCGACTAAGTCTTCAATTCTTGATCTTGTCCTTGAGTCTTTTGGTCTTGTTCCATTCCATTCTTCACGCCTTGAGTTATTCAACGAAACTCTTCATATCCACGACGGTTTTGGCAATTATCAAAACCTGTCAGAAATGAACACAATTTTAGTTTAACTTCACAAAAAGTGTAACGCCCCAAAACATGGTCTAAAAGTTATTCTTTTATAAAAGTATTTTAAAAAACAATATTTTGACCCAAAAAAGAATTATTTTTATGTTTGACCAAAAATAAAGGAATTTTTGAAGTCAATAATTTTTGTTAGGATTGGCTTTTATGGATAGGTCTCGAAGAGACGAATCCAATGGTATATTTTATGAATAAAATTTGATGTACACATTTTCAGTTATGATATTTTAAATATGTAATTTGCATAAAAATGTGAAGTGGTCAAAGATGTGAACTTTTGTAAAATGATTTATTGAAATAAATATTTAAATTTAATAATATTGATTGAATATGAGAGTAATTTTACTTGTATATTAATTATTTCAATTTTGACTCTGTCAAAGTCAAACACCCAAAAATATGCTGTCAGAAAAAGTATTTCAAATAAATAAAAAAATTATATCATTGAATAGAGTTTGACTGTCCGATCGCAACGGTGCAAACGGAATTCAATTCGAGGAAGTTGGACCAAAAAGTGTACCCCGACTAGGACCAAATTAGTCCCAATCAGGGAAATAACGTGGTGAATCGCCTAAAATCGCGCCTCCGCCGAATGAAGATCGTGAATTCGAAGTCTACACAGCAACAACTCAGCTTCCATGTCTTCTTCCTCTCATCTCTACTATACAAACTCCCTAAACTTCACCATTTCTTCACCATTCTTGTTCAAATAAGTTCTGAGAGATAGTCTTGAGTGTAGAGAACGTTGTGGTGCTGTCAATTCGGTGAGAAGGTGCCGGAGTTGAGAATAATCGTCGCCGGAAGTTTCTCCGAAAAATTTCCAAAACCTTCATTAAGCTTTGAGGTAAGCCCGTAGATATATCTAATGACTAGAATGTTCATATAGGTCGTTTCTACGTTCATAGATGGTCATTTGGTTGAGTTTTGTGTTTGACATGCTTGAAGAACCAAGAATCATAAACCTTGAAATTGTTGTTAAAACTTTGAATTAATGGTATTTAAATGATCTATGAACATTGGAGAACATTTCTATATAGTTTAATTGAAGTTTGGTGACTAAAAATGATTTTTCGAAAATCTAACCCGAGGTTGAAGACGAAATACTCTTGCTGTTATGCAGCAACGGTCGACCGTACTGTCACCACGGTCGACCGTTATCGGAACAGTAGCTTCAATACAACGGAGGCAACGACGGTCGACCGTTGCCTGAAACGGTCGACCGTTCCAAAGACAGCCAACTACGAAAAATGCTATTTTTGATACCAACTGATTATGATCATTATAAAAATGATTTTTCACAATAAAAATGATGCTTGTAATAAATTAAAATCTTATGTGATGCATGACGGTAAGTTTGGGTGTTAACACTCGAGACTAGGCCGCTAATTGTTATTAAATGTTATGTTGAATGATCATTATGATGAACTATTATTGTGGCCAATTATGAATGATTAACCTACTGATTAGTATGATTATTGATTAAATCATGATTAAAAATGGATATAATGATGATTACGAAAATGATGTATATTGTTAAGGATATCTAGAAGAACTCTAAGTTATACCCACTTGTATAATGATGATGATTATTAAGGATATCTAGAAGAACTCTAAGATATACCTCCTTGACCAATTCATATTTCGGGGTTAAAACGTACGTACGGGATCCAGAACAGATATCACCCACCTGACACTTTACTGTTCGGTTGGTACGTAATCCACATGACTCATAGGGTGGATTATCGATTCTTGTGTTCCGCATTAAACAATTTATAGTTTAAGGGCCTGGTTAGAAATGTTGCCTTAGACTAGGAATAGCTAAGAGCTTGTTATAAAATGATTTGGCCTTAGATTAAGAATAATTTAAGAGCATTGTTGAGATATTGAATATCAAATGACTTGGAATAAAATATTGAGAATATCATGAATGTTTGAATCATATATTGTGTGCATGATATCAAATGGTTGATTATGAATTGAGATTCAATTTATGTGGATGTTCGACGCTTTAGATATGCTTACTCAGCTTCACCGCTGAGCGTGTAGTGTGTTTTATTTGCTACACGCAGGTAGGCACAACAAATGATTGGTTGATTCCTGGCAGTAGAAGGGGGGAGACAGTCGTGGTGGATTATTGAACAAAATAAATAATTATGTTGTTATGAGACATGTTTAAAAGTCGCTTCCGCATTATTATTAAACACTCCGTATTCTCTACAGTCATGTATGCAATTTTATTTATGATAAATAAAGTTATTTGAAATGTTTAAAATTATACGATTACCAAGTTAAATACTTTAGTCCGAAAGGGGCTGCAGACCTGGACGGATTAGGGTGTTACAATTTGGTATCGGAGCAAATGGTTTTAAACCCGATCTTCGGATCAAAACTTGGATTAAAAAAATAATAATTTACATATTATATATGTATTTCGGCCTAAAAAAATGATGTCAATCAAATCCACGACTCTCGCATCCCTCTGCTCCAGGAAAGGTATGAGAATTTACTTAGTAAATATTGACTTGTTAAAATTCTCATTTGATAACCATTGTTAGTACTATAGAGCATAGACTCAAGTCAAATTTTTGTATTCGGTAAAGAAACGAAAGAATAAAAAAAATGTATAACCCTCTGATACGTTATCAATGTACGCATCGCATCATGAATAACAAAGTTGATCTGTACCGTAAAAGTCACACGGAAGTGAGATGAACCTGAAGAATGATTCGTGTTGATATATGTTGAACAACATTTGTGAAACCGGTGTCAAAGATGTTGGAACACACTTTGTACGATAAACTAAAGTCGTGTTCATTTCTGACAGGTTTTGATAATTGCCAAACCGCCATGGATATGAAGAGTTTCGTTGAATAACTCAAGGCATGAAGAATGGCTTGGAACAAGACCAAAAAGACTCAAGGACAAGATCAAGAATTGAAGACTTAGTCGAGTTGGTCTTTTGTGATCAAAACCGACAATAAATTCAAGTCTCGGTTCTCAAAGAGTCAAAACAATTTTTACAAATCATAAAATATTTTTTGTTTATCAAAACAAATATTTTTGATGATTTTTTTTATTGTTAAAATCCATGGTCCTTGCTCGGAACCGAAACCACCTAAGTCGGCGTTCGGCGTTCGGCTTTCGGTGTTCGGTTTTTGGCGCCCGAACCAACTCCGTGGTTTTCAATATTTTAAACCCTGTTTTTACCTCTGAACATTTTTAAAATGTTCCCAAATAATTATTTTATAAAAACCACTTTTGTATCTTGGTCATTCGGTCTAACACGTGAAAAACGGTCAAAACCGTACGCACGTGATGTACGACCTTAGAGACTTGGTTTTTACCGAACAAGTCTTGTTTTCACTATTTTATGCCATATACAATGTTTTTCAAACTTGGTTTTTACTTTTGGGAACACTTCGTTTTTGGACCTCGATTTTTCCAAACGGGTTTCAGCTGGCTAGACTTTAGCTGGGTGATAATCGATTATCACCTTAGTGACAATCGACTATCAGCCCCTGCAGCTTTGAACTTCCAAAGTTCTGAAGCACGCAATAATCGATTATCACTTGTGCAATAATCGATTAACAGTCTTTGCAGCCAAAACCCAGAATCTTCTGAGAGGACCAATAATCGATTATCACTTGTTGACAATCGATTATCTGGGTTACCGTTGTCCTCCAACGGATAGAATTTTAAATTTTTGGACAGGGAATCTTTGGATAATCGATTATCATGGTTTGACAATCGACTATCAGCCTGTGTCTCTGAAAAATTTGTCTTCATCCTGTTGGAAATTCTAGCAACGG